TCTCACTAAGTTGCTGAGGCTAGTCTTGAGCTTGCAATCCTCCTACCTCAGCCTCCTGGGCCGTTGAGATTACAGGCATGAGCCACCACTGCACCCAGCAAGGTATTTGCTAATTGTTGGTGACTGGCCATTTAAAAATGTTTTGGGGATATAACTTCTTATTTCAGAATTTCCTCTGACATACTTTTTTTATGAAGCCATTGAAGAATGTTATGAATTAACAGCAAAACAGGGAGGTTCTAAGTAAATGATTAGTATATTGAGGGCTGCCACTTTTCAACTTGGTAGTAGATGTCTTTGAAGTAAGATTATAGGAGCCTATAGACTGTAGAAATTTTATGTTTATTAAATTACCAATAAAAAAATCCTTATTTGTTCCTTGCTCCCAGTCTGTGATTTAGTCTGGTGGCTAGATCACAGACTTAGAGTCAGACTGCTTGTTCAAACCTTGACTCTCTCCTTGCATAGATAACTTAAACCTCTCTGTGACTTAATTTCCTCTATAAGATGGTAGTACCCCACAGTCTTTGTGAAGGGAAGATCATACCATCGGGCAAGTGCTTGCCAGTATGTATGCCCAGCCTGTCCCCCGTCCTCACTCCCACTGGCTTGATATTATACACCAGTTCAAATTAGTCTTAATGCTGAGTCACAGAACCGTCCCAGGGGAGAGTGAAGAACACCTAGATCCTGGAGGGAGTATGACCAAAGAGCCCTGTGAGAAAGGAAGTTATGTAAACAGATTCTCTTCTACCATGTCATTCCACTGAAGGCAAATTCCCTGAAGAAAGATTGGTAAGGTTGCTTACTAAGACAGCCCTCCAATAAAATGAATGGCATTTTACTTTTGATCAATATAAAAACTCTTTTAGGGCAAAAATAAAAATGGGTAGCCCTGAGCGTAGCTGGGAATAGCATTGCTGGCATTTATGATAGGAAAGTAGTTTTTCAGTAAGCAATTTAACTGGACTCCAGTGCATGTAAGCAAACAGTATCTCTTGAATGTGATGGGCTATTTGTAAATGTACTGTGGGTTTAGTAATGTGTCCCCATATCACGAATAGCATCATCCGTGATACAGATATTGGGAAGTGCGAATGATTCTCTAGAGCTTTGCAAAGACCAGAATGTCTCTTTTAAACCACAGTGAAATTTCCATTAGCTCTCAGGAGATAATTGATTTTGAGACTCATCTTTGGGAGCCAGGAACCCTCTTTCCTTCTCGTTGAAGATGATTAGCTGGGTGTTTGTGTAAATGAACTCATGTATTTGCACTGCATTAACAGCCCAATGTAGAGGGACTGGCAGTGATTACACTTGTTTTTCAATGAGAAAATCTGCACCTTTTCTCATACAAATATGGATGCTTAGACACATACACAGAACTTGACTAATTTGCAAATTCACTGGTGTTGAGTTCTTCAGATGTCATAAATGTGGCTATTTCTTAAAAGTGCCCAGTGATTTCTTTTGCCTTTTCCATCACAGTCGCATGCCTCCATCCGGTACACAAGTCCCAGCCTCCCTGATTGCATGTATTGTGCTTCCTCTCCAGCATCTTTTTTTTTTTTTTTGGAAAGGGTACTGGGAATTGAACTCAGGGACACTCAACCACTGAGCCACATCCCCAGTTCTATTTTGTATTTTATTTAGAGACAGGGGCTCACTGAGTTGCTTAGCGCCTCACTGTTGCTGAGGCTGGCTTTAAACTCATGATCTTCCTGCCTCAGCCTCCCAAGCTGCTGGTATTATAGGCAGGTGCTGTAGCGCCTGGCCCAGCGTCTTCTCTGTGTCATTCTGAGTCACAGGCTTTTCACAGTTCAAATTAAGATTCACCCTCATAAGTCCTTTGACTATCATAATCACAATGCTATTTAGTTTTCATATTCTAGAAGTAAAAGAATTACTTTTGAAATTTCTTCTGGCCTAGGTCTTCCTTAGCTGTTCCTTGTCTTTTCCTTCTTGGACAAATGTAGGTTTGTAGAATGTCCATTCCAACACCTAGTAGCCTACTCTGTGGTCCCCAATGGTTTATAATAAACGAATGGTAGAACATAGAACTAGAGTGGATGTCAAGAGATCATCTATTTTTTCCCCCACAACCTGCAGTTTAATTTAATAAATATTTATTGAGGTCTTTCTTGGGTGGACAGCACACCACAAATGAGAGTTTGGCATCTGCCAAGAAGCACTGCACAAATGACGTGGCCGTCTTCCATGTCTTCCAAAGTTCTCTAGTGGCCAGAAGTTTCAGTGGTGAGCCTCTTTAGAAAATATTAATTCTGCTTCCACAGTAAAAAGTTCCTGGCATTATTGATCATGGACAGCAAAAATATTAGAGGATATAGTCAAACTCTCAGGCATTATTTGTCTTTAGTCTTGAATTTCTTTAATTTCCATTTTTTTGATTTACCTTTGAAACTGGTGGGATTTCTACCTGGTCCGGTAAGATTTTTTTTTTTAGTGTTGATTAAAAAAAGGACCTTAAGTAAGTGAAAATGAGGACTGGAAGATACAAGATTGTACTTTATAGTTACTGGATTAATTTCTGAAATTTGAAATTCAAATTTAATAGGATAGTACAGATATATGTGAACATTTAAGGTCATCCTACAATACCTGTGCTTGGATGTGAATGACTTCAAATCAGTGATCCAGGCCAAACTGAGAGCTGGGGTTGAGAAAGGGCCTCAGGTCTCTGTTCAGAAAGCTGACTCCACTCAGAGAGCAAAGGCCAAAGCAAAAGTGTATGAAGTAGAGCAGGTGTGCACACTGGACCTGCTGCAGGACAACAGGTAGACCAGAAGCCTCCATCGCTGGTGCTCGAAGGGTGGGGGCTCCCTCCAATGGGGACTTGTGAGAGGCAGAAGTCCCAAGAAGAGCCTTGGAGTGGAAGCCATCAAGGAGCCAGGACCAATTCCTGTGAGTAGTGACCTGAAGCAAGTTTAGGTATGTAGCTGTGGGTGTTGAGAGAGAGTGACATCAGGATATCCCATCACAGATCTGGAAACAGAAGGGCTTCTGAGAAGCGACTCACCTTCACCTGGGCCAGTGTCATTAGTGCCCGAGGGATTTCTGTATTATCAGATGGCGTAATACTGATTGCTTAAATTAGTTGAGTGGGCCCAGGTAGTTTTTTTATATTATAATTGTAGAATAAAAGGTTAAAAGGTTTTTGTGCTTCAAAAGGGAAATATATTACCTGCAAAACCCAAGCATGTGACTCAGTTCCCACTGGTAGGTACTGGGGCTGTCAATGCCCGACAGGAGCTTAACTTTTAATCTCTTAATTCAGACATCAATTAGTCATTTTCAATTTACTTCTTATGCCTCTACACCTGTGGTTTATGGCCCTGCCTTGGTATTAAGGTTGGTGTGTGTTAAGACGTATTAACTCCTTAGACTGGCTTCTCATTCCTTTTCTTTTGTGACCCACCTTCACCAGCCACCTTCAAAAAGAAAGATTTTATTTGCAACATAAACAATGAAAGTCATCACCTGCACCTAAGAATATCACCCGTGCTTTTCTTTATGCATACAACTTTTTATAAAGTGTTGATTGTAAGCTCTTAAAGAATTTATAAAGGTTGCAGCATAAACAAAGTCATTATGGGCACCTAAGAATATTTCCTTGTGTTTTTTCCTTATGCATATAATTTTTATAAAGTGTTGATTATAAGTTCTCAAGGAATTTGTAAAGGTGTAGAATGCACTCATTCCTTTGATTCATTTTTTTTTTCTTGTATTTAACTACCTCCCTTCTCGCTCTGATTAACCCCCTCCCTGGATGTGGCATTAATCGTTTCACTCAGACCCAGCATTTATTGTGCATCTTTGTGTACAAAGATTTTTGCAGACTGCTGTAGGGACATGAAAAGTCAAAGGGTCTTTGTGGTTCTGTAGGTGTTTATAATCTGTACTTTCTCTGGCCAAGCATAAAGCAGTGGAGAGTTTTATGAGCATTTCCTCTTCCCTGGTCTCCTATTGGATGACAGTATTGACCAGCTTTTGGGGTCGAGGATGGAGGGAGCAGGGATAGCACAAATGGGCTCTCTACTGTCCTCAAAGCTGGGTATAGAATGGCATCAATGAATTAATTAAAACCCACTTTGGATTTTTTGATAGAAGACAGCAGTAGTTTCTCAGGTATTTTTGTACATCACATGCAACTGATGTGTTTGGAAATAATAAGATTTATGCAGCCACTGTTTTCTCAGGGACAGACTGAAAATGCATTTATTTATTGGCTACTACTTATACAGAATGAGTTAAGAGGTGACCTCCATTTCAGCAAGATAAATTCTTGGATCCAGAGTCCAGCCATCCTCATTTATTCTGTGTAGCTGAAGTGGATATTGAAATTTCTTTCTACAGAAGACGGGGAAGCCCCAGTTCTCACACTCCAGGTTGCTGCAAGCGCCTCATAAAATTGCCAGGCATCTATTACAAAGGGGTGCTGCTCATCTTTATTAAATATGAGTCAGGTTCTGGTCCTATAGGGCATCTTTGGATTTGTACACACAGCTCCAAGATCATGGGCTCCCTAGCAGTAACTGCTAAGGCCATTAGAGTTAGGAGCACAGGAGGGGGGCAGACCATCTCCCAGCAGGTATCACTGATGCCCTGTGATGTAACTCCCCTAGCAAGAGGCCACGTTTTCTGAAAAGTCCCCTGCTGTGTTTAAGATGACTGATTGCCTCCATTACTCTGCTGTGCTTCAGTTGAGAGGACCTAGGAAGATCAAAGCAATGTAACGTGAGTTTTTTTTTTTTTTCCTAGTGTAAATCTCAGCGTGGTCACAGCGTGCCTTGGAAAGGCAATTTAGCCTGCAGAAATAATTAAATCCTCAGTATCTTGCAATAATTAGAAATTTGAAACAGGGAGGGTTAATTATTTCCATCAGCTTTCAAAAACCCAAGAAAATGCTCAAGGATAGCACCCAGACGGTCTCTGTATTCACAGTACCAGTGCCTTCAATATTTTTGTCTTCTTCCCTGCAGGATCATGCAGACTTGCGAAGCCATTTCTTCACAGTTGGGATGAAGCTAGAGACAGTGAATATGAGTGAGCCCTTTCATATCTGTCCTGCATCAGTGACTAAGGTGGGTTTTGCTCTTCTGTTCTTGGCCTTAACCCCCACAGTGAATCGGCTCCATGCCAAGCAGATGAAATATACTCAACACAAGAATGTGCTGCAGGACCAGATAAGCCAAAGGGACATTGCCGTCCCCCCAGTCCAGTTCTGTTGGAAGCTCTTTCGATCCCTAGGTGCAGAGTGATTCTGATCAGGTGCCTCTTCGTAGAAGAGATAGGTTGAATTTCCCTTCTGCTAGTTGTCTGCGGGTGAATTGTGGGTAGGAGTGAATAGGATCTATTTCTATTTTGAAAATGCCTGAAAATGCTGGGAAGCAAATTCTCAGATCCCCATGAGCCAGCATTTCTGCCTCCTTTTGCATATCTGCTTCCACTGATCGAAGGAAAACTCATGCTTCTGAAACTTTCAGGTCTAAAATGAAAGACTTTCTCATGTAGAGGCATTTTAATGATCTGATTATTCTTTAAGGTTATAATATCTCTTCTTAATCAGAAATATCTCCATGACATCACCTGCTGTAAAACTTAAATCGTATGTTTCTACCTTAAATATTCCATTATTAATGGTGGGAAAAACACAACAAACTTAGCATTCTTAGCCCATACGTGGCCTTTTCAGAAGGAGGAGTTAAAGATTCAAAAATAAATTATATTTTAATGTTTTTTGAAAGAACCTCATTTGTTCATGGAATGATAAGTGTTTCAGCATATTTGAGTTATTTTTTTAATTTATGATTTGGTAGAATCTTAGGAATTCAGTGGTGGGTATGTTATAGAATGTGAAAAGTGGTTACAATTCTAAGTTGCTATTTTCCTCTTTTCTAATCGTTTCCTTTAGTGAACAAATTGTTTTTATAACTGTTAAGGTGAGTTCTTTAAGGAAAAATTATTGCCTTGTGCTTTATGGAGATCTTGGGATTGAAACACAATGCCTTCCCATTTGTGCATCATCCATTAAAAACCTTATTATTGGAAATGGTCTTTTGGGGTTCTTTACTGGTAGTCTTCAAAATTTTTTCAAAGCTGAAGAGTTGTACCGTGTTGAAACCTATCCAGAATTTGCCTTCATTGCTGCAGAGGTTGATGTTCATTCTCTGGATACATGGCACATTGCCCTTATTCTGAGAGGTGACAGTGACAACTTTATCTGGCATTTCAGAATAAACTAAATAGAGCCATGTGCTGAGCCATCCCTTGGAACCCTGAAACACAGCTTCCCAGGCCCAAGACTGCTCTTCATGCAGTGTGGTATCAGAGCATTCTTGGTGTAGAAGATATTTACAACAAGATTATTTTCTCAAAACACTGGTAAATGTTTTAGAATATTATGTTTGAGACTATAACACACTATGCTGTCATGACTCATCACAGTGAAGATTTCATCTCCCTACCTCCCCCTCGAGATTTTTCTTCATGGCACGACTATGGGAGATGTGAGTAAATATATTAAAACAAACAAACAGGAATGTGGATGAGCGTGTGGCAGATACAGTATTCAGTGACCAACCTTCAGCAGTCCAGCGGGACTATGATTTTTTGGTGCCCCACAACGGTGAGATGTCAACAGAGGATGAAGATAGTGTCACCTGTGACGTGGACTGTATTGATGAGAGGAGAGGGCACTGGAGTTGCAATCTGGTTTTGGGTTTCTGTTTCTGTAAACTCGGAGATGTGCAGTTTTGAGCAATTTGATTAACTGCCCTTGAGCATTGGTTCTGAGATCTTTGGATTCTGGACCAGATGGAACTCAAACCAGCAGTTCTGACCATTTGGGAATGTGAAAACCAATGTGTGTGCCCACATGAACCTGCATTTTAATGGGTTTTAATGGGTTTTGGAGATTCTTGGTGCATGCCTTTGCTGAGTCTTGTGTGCCTAAAGATCCTGCCACGAAATTTACTTGTTTGTTTTAACGTGTGAGTGTCTGTGTATGAACATTATAGAATATTTTTGCAGATATTTACTGAGCATTTATAGGCACTGTTCTGACAATAGGTTGTGAACAAAGTCTGATATTTTAATGAGGGAAAACAGACAATAAACAAAAATAATGAATAAATAAATGTAGTGTTTATGGGTTACTTGCTGAGGTGGAAAACATATCAGGGAAGGGCTAATGGAGCATCCGGGTGGAGGGAGAATGTAATTTTAAATAAGACTGTCAGGATGGCCTCCCTGGGAAGACTGGCCATGTTGGATCCTTTGCTCTTTTCAAAGGCTTAGAACTGGAACTGTTTACTGGAATGAACGAAGAGGAGCAGAAAAGCGAGTTTCTGCTCCTGTTTAACTTTAAACTTGGCTACTCCCAGGAAATACTTTATAAGCTAGGTACCATAGCTTAGTAAAAATGTTAAAGTTCCCTAAGAAAGACCAGTCAATGTCTGTTGAGTCGGGAAAGCAGTCTTTTTTCCGTCCTGCTTTACATACAGGGATTCAAACCCACCATGGTTTTCAGTGTGGGGGACCGACTGATTTTTGCCCTCTTCTTGGTTTTTTCAGCAACTTGTTCCTTTTTCATCTTTAATGTTTTCTCTTATATTCCTTGGGTATTTATTCAGTTTCTCTATACAGAGCATTTGGAAATACTTTGATGAATGTCAAAGAGCCATCAGTTCATTATGTTCTCAAAGAACTTAGGATCTGTTGGTGGAGACTGTTAAGTGATTAGCCCAGGAAAGAAACCAGGATCCTCAGTACAGAGTTTGTGTCTCATGCTCTGGGAGCACAGAGCAGGGACTGTTTATTCCAGCCAGGCCAGTAGCATTGACATTTGAGTTGCACCTTGAAAAACGCAGCAAGTTTTAATAGACTAGCGAGGTGGATGGGGTGTCGTAGTCTGTGAAGCAGGCTTCCAGATAGTGATCACCCCCTGGGCTTCAGGTGGGGTCTCTGGAGGGTCCCGATGCAGCGTAAGTCTAGAAATTTCATGGACCAGATCTTACCGATGTTGGGATGATCCGAAGGGAGGAGTTTGGTGCCTGCTGTGGACGCTGAGAAACCAGCTGGTCTTTTCAGCACCTGTCTTAGCTTTTGTGCCATCACTTTGATGACATATCTGTTTGGAAGCAGTGCCAGCATTACATATGAAATACCAAGGAATTAACCTTTGCTTTTTGTTTTGTTTCAGGTTTTTAACAATCATTTTTTTCAAGTGACTATTGATGACCTAAGACCAGAACCTAGTAAACTCTCAATGATGTGCCATGCGGATTCTTTGGGGATTTTACCAGTACAATGGTGCCTTAAAAATGGAGTCAACCTCACTCCTCCCAAAGGTTTGTATCCTGTGAAAATTTGCAAGATATTGGTGACTCCTGATGGTGTCTTGTCATTGAAGCCATGCTGTTGTTCACCTGGAGAAGTTTGCCCTATAGAGAGCCTGTGTGCAGAGGAAGTAGAGTGTTCTTCCTGGATAGCTTGAGGCAGGTGTCCCTCAGCCTGTCCCCTACTGTGATGTGTGCCCTTGGGCTCCCCAGCCCACTTCTGTCAGCTGCAGTTCTTCCACCAGTGACCCTGCATCGGCAGCTTCGCTGCTCCTGTGTGGCGGTAAAGGGAGGATGCGGTGTTGCTAAATGATTGAGTTACGCTCTTGAAAGTGTCTGAGAAGTGGCTTTATAAGTGCAACAAAATGCTAATAAAGCATTTCTTTAGATTTTTATTTCCAACCCATCAAATTTTCCCCAGGGCCTAGTTGCTCTCAGATATACATCAATTTGTCACTGTAATACATTAAAATCATTTGCTTGGGAGTCAGGATGCATTAAATTAGTTTTAGACTGGGATCCAAGAACCACACTTTGATCTGTCCAAGAAGTACCTTTCTCATTTAGTACCATGGCTTGTTGTCTCCCCTTCAGGTCTGAGGTTCGTTGAGGCAGGACAACAGTAAAATGAAACGTGACAGTGTGAGAAGGAAAGCAAAGGAAGTTATAGGAAAGAACTGGGAAAAGAGTAGAAAAACAAACTTTCTTGGGGGAGATTTTAATGGACAGCATCAGATTTAAAAAAAAAGTTTAAGGTTGAAACCCCAGGGAACAAAATAACTCCCGGGGTAAGTGGTTTGGGAAGGGAAAGTTCCGGTGCCCCTGTGGCTGTCTTGTGCCGTATGCATCATTTAATTGGGCTATGACAAGCTTATCTGTAGCACAACTGTGTTTTCTGGGCTTTTATCTCCTCTTTCCTCCACACTCATCCCCATGGAGGAGAGATGCCTCTGGATATTTCCGTTTCTCCTGCTGACCCCTTAGATTAAAGATGCGTAATCATGGCATGTGGTCTAGTGATTACATGGTGAACTTCCTCAAAATGCTGCTTACCAGCCATGGTTTTAAATGTCTAACTCATCTACTCCTCAAATTAATGCTGTGAGAAAACTTAGTCATGAAGAGTTTATATATAATATGTCCAAGGGCCTTCAGGTGGTGGGCAGCAGGCAGGAGGCCTGGCCCCTGAGTCTGTGCTAGATGCTGAGGGAGGACCCCAGTCCACGAACCCGCCATGTGTGTTGCCCTTTTGGACTTGAGCCAGATCATGTCCTCAGTTTTCAAGACTGTCACCAGGGGTACCTTTGGCAGTCCCTAGGTATTCTGCAGAGTCAAAGAAATGATAAAAATCTAGGTATTTTTATAATCCTTTAATGTGACCTCACTTATTGTCAGAGATGTATATAGTACTAGATAAGGAGTACTCCTGCCAAGTTGGAAAGCCCCTAAGGGCCATTTTTGTTTTTTCCTAACTTCCTCAGTGCAATGTGTGGGGAGGGGTCCCTTGTCATCAAAGGAGACTTTTTCTAGATATCTAAAAGGCAGCTGGTTTAGACTTTGCAAATTCCTAGTTA